CATAGGGGTTAAAGTCTCAGCACTATCAAGCTATTGCCAACCACTGCTAACCCAACGGTGCACAGCAGACCTGTCCTGTCAACCCGCTGCTCCCCTCACCAGTATATTTCGGTAGATCCACCTGCTCTGCTTCCCACTCTGTCTCTCATGAATACTCTCAGTCCCCTCACCATTGGCCTACAATCCCAGCTCTTGAATGCATAAATGAAAACTAAATAAATCTTTAAAAAAAATAAAGTTGGAAAGGCACTTAATATTACCTATTTCAATTCCTTAACTAACGCAAAAATAAGGCCTGAAGAGTTCAAGGGACTTAAGCAAATATTAATGGTACCAATTATAAATATTGTAGAATTCTAGCTTTGAGAATTATAGCAACTATAAATGGTATAGCCTTATAAATGCTATAAATTTAAATAATAGAACTAATTTGATATGAAATAAATCTGGCCTTTTCTGTCTTAACTGGTTATTACAGCTAAGGACAAATATAAATAATGAATAGCATTAAGTGTCTTATTTCTGTAGCTCCTTAAATAATAGACCACATTATTTCTGTAACACATAAAATTGTTCTCTAGTGCCTTAAAAATTAAAGTGCTACTCAAAGTCTCTCTTTTTAGGCAACTGTGGTCACCCAGTGAAGAATGTGTGACCCAAATGTTAAGTTGAAAAGTTCTGGTTATGGCTGCTGGTGGTGGTTATTTCAATCATGTGAGTGTCCTTAATGCTACTAAATGATAACACTGAACAGCAGTTAACAAAATATATTTTATGTTATTTCTATTTAAACACATACACACACACAGCAATAGTGTCAGATTGAGAGCTTTGAATCAATGGGAGTTCCTCTTCTAGAAAAGTAATTCAGTACTGCTGGGAAGACCAAGAAGTACTCTGCACCTAACAGAATGACATCAAAGCAAACAACCACGCTTTCCTCTTGGAAAAGATATTTTGTTCTCTCTTGACTTGCTTTCAAATTTCTTTCATCCACGCTTCCAAGACAGTTTCCTCAGCCACGTGTAGACAGCTGCAAGAAAAATGAACACATAAACTATAATTAGGTCATTTTTGGCTTAGACCAGTTTCATTTAGGTTTTAGTTACTTAGGTTTCAGCAACCAAAGTCTTGATAAATATAGAAGGCAGTAAGGACATGAAGACAGACATAGAAAGTAAAAAACACAAAATCACCTGGAAAAGAAAGAACAACGAAACGGTAGGAAGCAACATGCTCCAAAAACTGACTCTTGATACTGGAAAGATTTGTTTTCTTTTTCTGGTCATGAGGGAGGGTAAGCGCAGGACTCACTCAACAGTATTCCACTAAGCAAGTTTACCAAACACGGACTCCGATTTCAACCTATGCTTCTTTAACCCACATTGTGCACTGTTCCACACAGTTCACATCTCTTCAGATGTGAGCCACTTAAGTATTATTTCAATTCTAAGATATTTTTATCTGTGGACCCTCCTTCCCAATGTAGTCACTGGTAGTCAAAACATTTCTATTGGGCCAGCACACATTATTAGTGACTTGCTGGTTAGAGCTTATCAACAAAGTCATGGCCCTTCAAACATTTTTATATCAATCCAAATGAAAATGAAGTTCTATAATTGGGATACAATGATTAGAATCAAAAGCTATTTCTCTCCTACAAGATAGGCACACCCTAAAAATATCAACTTTTACTCCATCTTGGTCCTATAACAACAAATTAGAAAAGACTTTGCTAATCTAAGTAAAATTTTAGTCATAATATGTAAAAAAAAATCTTTGTGACAACATTGTAAGAATGTTCATCTATTAAAAATAGAGGTAAGAAGATAATGTGGGAAAAATTTTAATGACCTGGGTAAAGAAAAATTGAAACAAAATGAAGGTCAGAATCTATAAAGAAAAAGATCAGTGAGTTATAAACATTAAAATTTTCTGTATGGCACTTCTGCCATATTCTAAGTAAAATCCACACTTTACGTAAAATCAAAAGTGAGTCCATATACTCGGACAGCATTTCTCAAAAGCACGAAGAGGTTCAAAAGTGCTGATGCCTAGGTCCCATGCCCAGAGATTGTGCTTGTAAGTATTGCAGATGAAGGTGCAGCTGGGTTGCCCAGAGTCCTCATGTGACTTTAATGCACAGCTAAGAGTAAGAACTACCGGTCCAAGAAAAGAACATTGCAATGCATAAAAACTACAGAACAACGAAGAGCCCACTTCTGCAGGTGCAAGTTAATTTCTAAGTGCTTGTGTGGCATTTAAAAAATATTACCCAAAACTCACCACTGCCACCCTGTGGAAAGGATGGCAAAAAACCCAACTGTACTTACAGTTAATATTTAATACTGGTCATCCAGTTGCCTGGTTCCCAGACTTTTTACCATCAAAGGCTTTCAAATTTTTCTTCCTTTTTACGAGGTTTTCTTTCTTTTTACATAGAAGAATTGGGATATAGGCCAGAGATGCAGAGGGTGAAAGGATCCACCAGATACAGACATAGTGGGGAGATACACTGTGAAGGGGAGCAGAGGACAAGACAGGAGAGGTCTGTTGTACCATGTAGGTCGGCTCCCTGGGGGCGGGGATGGAACTCCTGTTGCAGTGACTGCTGATGGCTGCATAGTACTGAAACTTACCCTTTGGACTACTACAGAGGCCTCAAAAGGCTTTCAAAAATGTCTACCCTCCCTCCAAATTGAATGTATGATTTACAAAAATAGTCATTTACTGACACATTGATTCCCCATATTTGTAAATGCCAATCAGAACTTCTGATCTCTGTCAGTATTCATATTTTGAGTTGATTTCTTTCTAACCAAAACCAAAAGGAGATTTTTTATCTGTCTACACAGTGTCCATTAAGATAACTGTATAACTTGTCGTTCTTTTTTTTTTTTTTAAAGATTTATTTATTCGTACAGAACTGGGGTACAGGCCAGAGATGCGGAGGGTGAGAGGATTCACCAGAGACAGAGTGGGGAGCAGAACAGGCAGCTCGATGAAGTACACTGCTGAGGGGAGCAGCGGGCGGGTCAGGAGAGGTCTGCCACGCCATGTGGGTCAGCTCCGGGGCAGGTGGGGATCGAACTCATGTGGAAGTGGCTTAAGCTTCTTAGTGCAGTGCTTTAACCCGCTGCGCCACCAGGGAAGGCCCTGTCATTTGTTTTTTAATAATAAAAATAGTTTACAGAGATTCAATACTGCCTGTAAAATATATAATTCTGGGCCTGTGTTTATAAACTATTCATTGATTTAATTTATTGGTTTTCAATAGGGGGCCACCACTGCCCAGCATGCTTTACCCACCTTAGGCTCCAGTGCCCAGTGCTCAGCTGCCCCTCACCCTCCTCAGGCACAAGTTTCCCACCATGACCAACTAACCTAAGTGGATACGCCCCTCTTTCTGCCTAGGCGATGGCACCCCCCACCGGCTGCCACCTTATGTTGACACCCTGTTCACCCCACTTGGGCTACTGTGGCAATCCAGCATGATGCTCAGCAACACCTGATGGTTTTAGGTTTGACTATTCAGGAAGGAGAGAGCAAGAACCTTGTATTAACTCTTAATGTTGACAACCATTCTGGAGGAAAGGAATGACTATCTTTATGAATGGCAATGAAAATCTTTGTAAGGAACCTACCAAAGTTCCCACGGTACTAAATGTTGGAGCCCAAATTCAAATCTGGCCCCAGAACCAGCACTATTACCCACCATGCTGTCAAAGATACAAAACAATCACATAAAATGTACTATTAAATTTACTGTAACAATGTTTTCAATGAACCCCTGCTCCCCCCTCTCCCCACCAATCTCATACCCAGCCCTTTTTCTATAGCCTTCCAAATATGTGAAGAAACGTTATGTGTCAACTCAGAGTTTTTGGCTCACCTGTTTCTCAAGATCTGCCTCTCCAGTCTTCTCCACTTGAGGCTCCTCCCCTGTCTTTCAAGATGCCCATCACTAAGCTGTAAGGTCTCTAACCTGATGTCCTCTGCATCACCCAGGGGCCACAACTCTTACTTCCTGTTGGGGTGCTGTGAGGCCAGGAGAGAGATGGAACCAGCAGAGACATTTCCTTTCAGCGTCTCCTTCTCATGGACTGTTCCAATGCTCATTTCCACCAACCATCAACCTCTGTGAAGAAGCAGTAGCAGCTCAACAATGTAAAACCTGTATTTGCTTCTCATTCCTTCTTAGTTTACCTTTTTGCTTCATCTTTGCTGTTCTGGGATTGCTTGCGCCTGCGGATAAATGATTCACACTTAAATTCTCTCCCCCCCCCAGGGTCCACTTTATAGGGACCACGGAATTGACACCGTGGGAAGAACTTATATCAGAGTAATAGAAACAACCGTACTTTTCCCCAACACAACACCTCCTCAATGATAAATTCCCATAAAAAGACTGTTTGAATTCACTGCTGGCGATGTAGAAGAAAAAAGATCACCAGGGAGGCCACTACACTATATGCTACACTCGGTTTGAACTCATCTGAAATATATTTTTGTGCTTGATGTACTCCTGTGTGTTCCACGTCCCTTAACCTAGTGCTCTTCCCACTTCCTTTAAAACAGGTTGATAAGAAGTTGACAGAATAGAGAACTCTCAGCTACCAGGGGACCACAGCAGAAGAAACTCCATTACAGAATCTCGAACAGTAAGGACACTAGAGGACTATGACCTCGTTCTCACCGTATAAAGGGACAAAGGAAACCGTTATTTGTCAAGTTGCCCAGAAATCTCGTCGACGCAACAGGGTACACAGCACCTGTCAGCGGGGGCCCTCAACTCGGCAGCCGGGAGGGGACACCCCCGAGTCCAGTAGGATGGAGAAAGGTCTCCCGGAGCGTGGCCCACCAGCCGCTGCACAGACTGGCAAGAGCGCCGATCCGCTGGTTGCCAGGAGACACGGCCGCCACTTTGTCCAATCAGCACGCGTGTCTTTGCGCCCAATCACAGAAGCCGGAGGCGCCTTGGTCGGAGGTGATAGGTCACGCTGCTGTAGGGCGGCCATTTCTCCTACGGCTCTGCGGCTCGGGCCCAACTTTAGGTACTGCGTTCTCGAGGCACGAGCGGCAGCTGGGTCCGCGAAGACCAGAGCTCGTAGCATTTTCCCGCAGTCGCGATGGTAAGGAGGAGGGAAAGGGCCAGAGTCGCGAAAGAAGAAGAGAAGGAGGGCGGGAGGGCGAGCCGCCTCGTAGGGCCTGGCGGTGCGCGCGTTTTTTCATTCATCCGCGTGAGGCGGCGCGCGCCGGCTCGCCAGCCCCTTTCTTCCTGCTGTGAGGGAGAGTGGAGACGCGCGACCCTCTGGAGACCCTCCTCACCCTTCCTTAGGACTGCCGCTGCCATCTTCCGTCTATTCCTTGTTTGAATCTGAGCCGAGGTGTCCTGAGAGTCGGGGAGAAGAGGAAGCGGTTTTTCACGTCCCACTTAGCACACCCCCCCCAATCCGCTTATTTTTCTTGCTGCCATAACTCCGCCGCGCTAGAGAACTCAGAGCCCAGGCTTGGGAGCATGTGTTCGTTGAGCACATATTTATCGATAACGCGCTCCCCGCCCCCCCCCTCTCAAGATAACTGTTGTAAATGCCAGGAACAGGTGAAGAGTTCTGATGCAAACCCAGCTTCGGGTTAATTAACTACATCGGGTATAGGAAACAGGCATTAGCCAACATAATAAAAGTAGTGTGTGACTGCAAGTCGTGATCACTGCAAAGAAAGAGTCGAACAAGATGCTGTAAAGGGCGCGATGGAACGAGTGGTCAGGGATAGTGTTCCTGGATGGGGGGATTTTACCTGAAACTTAAAAGTGACATGAAGCATGGCCCTTTAAATAGCTAAGGAAGAGTGTGCACAGGGAATGGGAGCTTAGGCCCTAAATCCAGAAAGGAGCTTGACTAGTTGGGGGAATTGACCAAAAGCCACAGCTACTTGCAAGAATAGTGGGTTTTGAGAGAGAGTTAGGTGAGACCTCATCTAGCATCTGTTGGGGCAGGTGGGGGGCGTAGTGCATGGTTTCTACTCAAGTTTAACAGGAAGCTGTCAAAGCATTTTAAGCAGCGCTATCACATGATTTGATACATTAAAAAAATGATAGTTGCCCCTAAATAACTTGGAGAAAGACGAGATTGAAAACCCTCGTTCCACGAGTCCCCAGCCCTTTGAATTCACTCCAAGTTTGCTTACAGGGGGGTTAGTAGCACAGTTTGTTGGTTCTTTTCTTTCTTTGACTGAGTGATTGAGCAGAGAAGGGAATGAGGAAAGTCCGAATTCGCTGGGGATGTCACTGTTTTGCTGACTGAACAAACATTAAGTGGTCACCCATATGCTAAGTCAAATAGGACAGTCTTAGCTCCTAGAATTCAAGCGAAAAACTGTCAGAGTGATCTGCTGCGCCCCCCCCCCCAGCCACCCATTTAGGCCTTTTGACAATACTAAATTGTTTGGATGTCCTTGAGATCACATTGTTGCTTCACTCTTCCTTTCTTTTACACAGGTAAAGCATTTCAGGGAACCTTTCTTTTTCTCTTGACCCTGAATTGGCTTGGACATCCTTGTACATAGCTTATCTCCTTAATACACTGACTGTAATTCTCTATATGCATTTTACCTCTGCCTTCCCACTGTGAGTGTCTTGAGGACAGGAGCTATCATCTGCATTATGTTTTTGTTCTATTTTAACTGCCTTTTCTGTTTTTATAACCTGGCACAATTAGTGAATTAGTGACTTATAGTAAGTAGTGAAGTGTTTAATAAGGATACTTATAAAGTTGTGATGTGTTAGAGATGATCTAGCTAACGGGGCATTTAAACTTTCCTGATACTTTTCAACAAATAAGAGTGAAGAGTGAAAGTTCTGTGGTAAAGCCAGTCAAGAGTGTGCCTCATTAGGGTACCATGAAATATTGGTGATTTGGTAGAGAAGAGGTGGTGGAAGCTCAGGTAAGGAAAAAGTAATAAACTCTTTTGTTTCTTTTTGTACAGAGTTTACCTCTCAATCCCAAACCTTTCCTCAATGGATTAACAGGAAAGCCAGTGATGGTGAAACTTAAGTGGGGAATGGAGTACAAGGGCTACCTGGTCTCTGTAGATGGCTATATGAACATGCAGGTAAGCAGCGTTACCAAGGTCACGAAATTATATTTATTTTCTTCACCTTATTCTTTAAAAGTGTAATGTTACTTTTAAGAATACAGTGAAATAAATTGACACATGTAAAGCAAAATTCAGGAGTAGAGTCAATTCTAGGAAGGCCAGCATAACTAGGGAGGGAGACACTTGGTAAACCACAATTCATCCACACAGGTGATTTCTAGTTAAAAAGGGCTCCTTGATTCATAATACTGTGAGGAAAACACAATTGATTCCTTGGAAAAAGCAAAACTTTTCCAAGCATTTAACTGAAAGAAATTTCTCAAGTGAACCTTTTGTCTTATAATGAATATTAAAGGCAAACATCAAAGTACTGCTGTGAAAATATTTCTTGAGGGGGAAGACAGAGGGCCAAGGAGTTGATGAATTGACTGTATGTCTAGTAAACTACTTTCTAGTTGCAGTCGATTTAAAAAAAAAAATTTTTTTTTACTTATTTATGCATACAGAGGTGGGGTCCAGGCCAGAGGTGCAGAGGTGGTGAGAGGATTCACCAGAGACAGAGCGGGGAGCAGAACAGGCCAACTATCTTAAGTACATTGCTGAGGGGAGCAGTGGGCGGGTCCGGAGAGGTCCGCTGCGCCATGTGGGTTACCTCCAGGGTGGAGATTGAACCCATGTGAAGTGGCCTCAGCTTCTCAGTGCTGTGCTTTAACCCGCTGTGCCACCAGGGAGGCAGCCAGGTTTTTAAGGATAAAATTTGTTTTTCTAAAATGCAATATTTATGTGAATGATTCATTAATGGCAGATGGACATTTTAAAGATGACCTAGAGAGGTGGTCAGTCACACTATGATTCCAAAGTATTCAGTACTGATACTACTTGTAGATAAAGCCTTAGTAGAGTTCTTGTAGGCAGAAACCTGAGATTTTTTGGTAGAGTTTACCTCTTGAACAGATGACACTCAGATTCCCAATGTTACCAAGCCTGGTTTGGGCTGGCAAATTACCCTAAACAAGGTTTATAAGCAAAGGTCATAGAAAAATCTGGTTTATCCATTGCTCTGAAATTAGATAGACATGGTGACTGCACAATTTTATATGAAAAAACCACTGATTTACATACAATGAAAGTGTAATTCTATGCTATGGGTATTATATCCCAATAAAAAGAATGACTATCCACAGTCTATTTGGTTTTAGAAAACTTACCGGTTTCCCCAGTGCATTGTAAAGGTTATAAAATGTATTTCTGAGAACTAAACACAAAGTGTTTTTGTATTTATTCACTCAGCAGATATCTACTGTGCACCTGTTATTTGCCTAGCACTGTGGATTACACCAGTTTATGTTTTAGTGGTGGGAGTTGGTAATACAATTTGATGTGATATCAGATGATGATAGATGCATGGAGAAAAAGACAAAAGAAATGATCTATCATGACAGGAGTGCAGTGTTAGGATAGCCAGGAAATTGCTCTCCAAGGAAGTAAATTTAAGCAGAGACAATTTTTGAATAAGCAACTAAAGAGAGCATTTGGGGAAAGAGATCCCAGCTCAAGGAAATAGCAAGTGCAAAGGTCCTGTGATGGGAACTTAGTGCATTTGAGGCATGGCAGAGGTAGAAGAGTGATAGGAAGCGAGGTTGGAAATGGTGGTCGTTAAAGGATCCTTTAAATGATAGCAAGAGCTTTGTATTTTATTGGGTTGTCAGGAAGGTCATGCTGTGTTTTTTCTGTGCTTTTCAAAGAGAAAATATGTGATGACTTTTCTGATAAGCCAATATTTAAATGTAATAAAATGCCTTTGGAACATGTTGGTGACCATCTACAAAAAATGATCACTTAAAATTTCTGAGAACAACTACCAACAAAGCTAATTATGCAGCAACATGTTTCAAGACAAAACCGTATTCTCTGGGTATAGTATTTACTTTCTGATCTCTCTAGGGGAATAACATCCAGTAACGATACTAATTCATTAACTTGTTTTAAATGCCTTACATCACATTTGTTATAAGCCCTATTTTTCTCTCCCTTTGCCGCTTGTCTAGTTAATTTAAAAAAAAAAACTCTTTCTCTCCTGTTCATTCCTTTTGTGAGTTCCAGATAGCACTCATTGTGAGTTTTTGAAATTAAAGTTTATTATTATATGTATAAGCTAAAGTTTTTGATGTAAAATTAGATATAGTAAATATCTCTGGAATAAGGGTCACTTCTGATTGTTTGACCTCCTTAAGGACTTGGTTTTCCTGTTTATTCGCACATAATTTTTCTGGGGCAGGTGGGAATCGAACTCATGCGGAAGTGGCTTTAGATTCTCAGTGCTGTGCTTTAACTCGCTGCGCCACCAGGGAGGGCCTCGCACATAATTTTTTAAAAAATGTATTTATCCAATTCTTTGGTTTGATTGTTGACTGAGATGAAAGTATTTGCTATTTTATACATAGTTTTTGTACACTCTTGAGTTCTTCAATATAATGTTACTTTGAGATATGTTAATGTCTGGTTCTTTGGCAATTAATTTTTGGGAAAATTTTTAATCTCACTTCATAAATTTAGGACTCTCTTCCTCAACACATTGCTTTAATAGAAATGGTATATAATAGGCAGATGTAAAAAAACTGTTGAAACGAACTTTATACTAATTCTGTACCATCTATGCTGACTTTACTAAATGTTGAAGTGCTACACATAGTGCTAGGAGTACCAGAGTTGTAACAGCAAGCTTATATAGTAATAGAAATAGTAATGATAGTAGTAGGCGTTACTATAACAATAATAGAAAACTAATCTAATTATAAATAGAAGCTGTTAGGATAGGAAGGTCTTGATAAGTTCTCTCAGCAGTATTAGGTATGTCATACTGTTTTTCTTCTGTATGATTATGCTACGATATTTTCTTTTTTTAAGCTTGCAAATACAGAAGAATACATAGATGGAGCATTGTCTGGACATCTGGGTGAAGTTTTAATAAGGTAACAAAACAACGGTAGTATTTGTTAGAAGTTACTGGGGAGGATTAGAAATGTTTAATGCCTCAAAATTTTAAAAATTGCTATCAATTTAATATTCTACAACTAGATTTTAAGAGTCTTTGAAAATGTTAAACACTTGTCAAAGAAAATGTAAATATTTGTAGTTATTCATCCTTGAGATATTTTTAGTATAACCTTTTCATAGTGGTTTTAGTTGCAGGAGAATTGGTTTTAGAATTTTAGTTGAATTTTAGAATTTTAATCTCCTCTTAGGGATTGTCATAACTCATTTCTTGAACTAGCGCTAGACCTCCAAATTGTTGTCATTATTCCCCTTGGAAGATTAGGATATCATTTTATAATAACCACATGGTCTAAATAAGTGTCATGTACTTTCTAAGAAATCAGTAGAAAAAGCTTTAAAAGAGAGAAATGATATATTGTAAGTTTAGCATTTACTATTTTTATAATGAAAAAATTTTAGTAATAGTTATTAAGATCTGATGTAGTTTGCAGTTTGGACACCAAAAAGAACTTTTTTTCTATTTACAGGTGCAATAATGTCCTTTATATCAGAGGTGTTGAAGAAGAGGAAGAAGATGGGGAAATGAGAGAATAGCATCTTTGTGGGGAATTTTTTTTATATATATTTCTAGACAATAAAGATTTGTTTGTTTTTCAACTTGACTTGTGAACACTTCATATTCAGCTGTTTATATGAGAGGCTCAAATACTGAAACAATTGAAAGATTATTCACAGGATTAATGTTATAAAAGCCACTCCATTTCATTCAAGTAGGTTTTCTTTTTTAAGTCCAGTACTCTATTTTGTTTTAATAATGGAATATTATTCATATGTTTTGTAAATACTTATGAAGGTGAATTTCAGCCTATTTCTTGTAACTATATATTAACTTGAGACCTTTCTAAGTTCTTTTTTGGGCCACTTTTGACATGTATAAAGTTAAATATTTTCTTAGAATGATTTTGACAACAAATTATATATATTACATAGTTATTACATTTAATTCTATATCGATGTAAGCTAAATAATATATATATATGTGGTTAAAATTGAGGTATCACCTGCCAATTAAAATGATTATGAATGTAGTACACAGAGAAATTGTGAGTTGACAGTTAAGCTGGAGATATATGGTTTGTTTGGTTACAAGAATTCTGTTTTCTGAACAGAACTCCTTAATGTGAATTAAAAACCATTCTCACAGTTATGTTCTGAGAAGACAACTTAGCGGTTTTTATTTAAAGTATGTACCCCTTAAACCCGTCAGGTATTAGAGCTGTGCACTTTTGGAATGTGTACTCCACACTGGTACAATGTATAACTTTCCCAAGGACTGGCTGAGAAAACAAGGTGGTGGAGAATGCCCTTACTGTGCTTTAATGGTCACCCACCATTAAGTCACTTTGGATGTGTGTCCCCAACTGGGACAAGTCAAGTTATAGATTTAAATGGTTAGCTATGTAGAATAGCACTTAAGAGTGTAGATAATAAAAAGCTTCAACAAAAGAAAATCCCCTCATTCCCAGTCCTGTGGCCTTTAGAATAAGGGCCTGTCATCTGCACATTGGTCAGGCAGCGTGTGGGGCAAGATACTGCTATTATGAAAAATCAAAATCTACAAAATATGCCCAAGCCATTTGGTAATAAATGCCATACTGCATCTACTCAAGTGAAAAAATATTCATCCTCTAGCGATTTTGTTTTTGTATCCTTGACTAAAAGAAGCTCATGTTTGTTAGCAGATGGAGGTTGTGAGCGATAGATAAGTCGTCTTCCCACCTGAAATAAAAGAAAAGTATTTCTTAGCATAAGAATTTTTCTACTGATGTAAGTAAGTAAGTAAACCACTGATTACCTTAATTTGCCAAAAAATAGTACGGTTTAAAAGTCAATCACAGTTACGCAAAGGGCTTGAAACCTAGTGGATAGCAAACGTGCTAGGCAAAGTGAAGTAACAAATGGAGCATTGTCTTTGCAGGAGACAGGACGGCTGAGTTACTGGGAAGTGAGATGTAGGTAAAGCCCTCATCATAGGCTTCGGGTGTGGTCAGCCTTGAAAAGCACCATTTTTGTTTCAGACCAACATTTCATTTCTCATTGCCATAAGTGGTTTTCCCTATGGTTTAGGGCTCTATTGAACACTTATTGGCATTTAAAGATTCTGTTACACGAAAACTTGAGAAAAATCACATACTAATCCCTTAAACGCTACCCTTGGCACTTGGAGGTGTTCCCACCAAGAGAGACTTAGAGAAACCCTTATCCATTCATATACTCAAGTATATCAAGTATTACATACATTTTTCTTATTTTTTTTAAGTTTCCCCTGATTTATTGTTTTTATATCTGAATTTTGTAAATTAAATGATTGAAGAATACCCTATTAGACATAAATTTGTTTTTTCAAAGGGGCACTAACCCTGTGTGAGACTGCCCCAGGCACCGTAAAAGGTTGAACTGAGTAACCACAGTAACTTCCCCATGTTGACACGTCCCCGCCTGACCAAGTTTTGGTCAGTAGCTGGCTGTGTATACGGCAGTGGTCCCCAAGTTCCTTTTGCCAAGTGGCATCATAGCCACTGCAAAGTTAAGAGTGTTGTATGCCTCACACATCTATCTTCCACAGGATGACAAACAGAAACTAACAACGCATTTCTCAAAAATGTGTCTCTATCAGTGAGAAGTGACAGCAACAAAAGGAATCCTCAGTTCCTTTTCTAATACCAGAATTTTTTTTTTCAGCTCCTTAGGTATAACCTTTGGTATTCACACAGCCTGCGAAAATAACCAGAAACGACAAACCCTAAGTAGGTAAGGACTCGTAGCAGGTCAGTTTCTTTTTTTAGTTTTCATCCAGTTTTAGGGTCTGTTAATTCAACTGTCATTGAGTATCCACTATGTGCCAAGTACCGGGGATCATAAAACTCATTCATAGTCTAGAGAGGACTAAAAAAGGATTTCAGTTTTGGTGGGTTTAGTGAACAATTTCATGTGCACATGAAAAGATGGTGACTGATTCCTTGGAAGGAAAGGACATATTAGCGCTTCATAGAAGTTGGAACTTGGTAAGTACAGACCTCTTTAAAGATGAGCGTCTTATTCAGATAAAATATTTTAGGATAATCATTTTCTAACAGCAGTTACCATACTTCTTTAGAGCTTTTTAAGTACTTAACCGCAGTAGCCTGTTTGTGATGTGCATAATAAGCACTCACAATGGATTAGCTATTATGTAAGAACCAGTGTCCACATTGGCTTTGCAGGTAACCATCAGAGTGTCTGGAATTCATTTCAGACCCTAAGCCAGAGGACAGAGTGGCAGATAGAAACAAAGACCCTCCTCACCCAGAGGAGCATCAGGGGCCAGGTGTCCTCAGCGACTGCCCAACCCAACTGTTGGGCAGGAATCTGCAGTGTAAAACTTCTGGTTATTGGTCCCGGCTCTGCTGCTGCATTAGAAGTGACTGTGAAAGCCAGTTTAACATCTCTTTATTCTCACAGTTGGGGATTGAAAAATCCTGCTGGTTAAATATTTATTCTCTTGTTTTACTGTCTTTAGTTGATGTAGAATGTAAGCAAGATTCCTAGCTACTATTTGTAGATAGATATATACTGTAAATATATACATATTTACTGTATTGACATATTACATATATTTACAGTAAATATATGTAAATACATTTTCATATACAAAGTATATGTGCATGTGTACAGATATGTATATAAAGTAAACGTGTGTATATGTACACCTAAACATGTGTTTTTTCAAAAGAATATAGGTAATTTTTTTCCCTTTCAAATTATATTTAGGTAAAGTGAGTTTACATCTTTGCGCCTATTCCAGGGGTTACAGGTTCAAACTTATACATGTGAACTGTTAACTGGTTGTCTCCACTGAATACTCTTGTGTCTTAACCTTTGAGCTATATACTTGTATTCTCTACTAAAAAATTACGGGGAAAAAATCTCACTTTGTGCATTTGGAGCTAAAGAAAAAAGTTTTAATAAAAAGTGGGTCTAGTGTTGTAGCAGTGTTGTGAACCTAGAAAGTTGAATTATTCTGAAAGTAACAAAGAACCAGATAGAGACCAAGTGCAGCTGGGAGCAGGAAAGTATTTACTAAAGTTGGGTAAGTTAGGTAAGGTACTTTGTTTCGTAGTGGAAGCATGCACATGCATGTAGCTAAACTGATTAATAACAAAACACAAACCTTTTTCTTTGGTTGTGCAACTGCTCTTTGGAGAGCAACTTTTAACCTTTCTTCCTGGTGTCTTTGTTTTTCTTTCAGTTTCTCTTCACGTAACCTACAGAGGGGAAAAACATCCTTTTACCTATAAATCACAAAGTAAAAAAGACTGACAGTATTTGCTAATGAACTTTCTAAATATTTTAAGATCCCATTTAAAATTAAATGAAAACAATACTTCATCTTTGCCCTTACCATAGCTTTTTAATGTCAGACAAAATCTCAACAAATCCTGTTGGTGTTGAAATGGGAAGGAATTTCTTGTCACCATTTTAGAAGAAGTAAAATCTACCTGGATGTTAGTGTAAGCAAAAACTTCCTAACTCTCCACTTATACTTCAGCATTTTACAGTTTGTCCAACAGCTACTTGAATTTCAACTTCCAATTGGCCCTCCTTCCCCAACCCCCAAGTTCTCTATATTGAAGTATAATATATTGCAGGAAAGAATACAAATCACAAGTGCATATGAATTACACACTCAGTGAATTGCCACAAAAGTGGTTTATTTTCCAGTTACTATTTTTTGAATGGATCTTCAAATTAAAGCCAAGATATGCTATTTGTTTGGTTCTTGCTAGGGTTGTGGGACTATAATTACATGAAATAACCTATACAAACTGTCTATGGAGTAGACTAGTATAGAATAGACAACTTAGTAATAACTATTTTATGAACCTATAATGTGTAGCCTTTTTTATGCAAGTTACAGTATGTTTTGTTCTAGGTGCCTCCAAACCATGAGCAAAATCACCAGAAATTCCCTTTGATAAGAATAATAAATGAAGTTAGACTCTTGTATCACTACTGAAAATAAGTTGTAGAATATATTTCCTACTATAAAAAAAATGCCAAGTGCCGTTAATGTGATCAGTCATTGATCACTTTATGAAAGGAGTGTTTCATGCAGAATTTTTTTAAATTTGCTTTACATTTAGTAAAATTTCATCAAGAGCACCTGAATATATTTTGCACTTTTAATTGCCTAAAACTGTAGCCCCCATTCACCAATAAGTACTAAGCAAGTAAAAAATATCTAAAGTTAAACTATGTGCTAAACATACTTGAGTGCTTTGATATAGATTTAATTTGATCTTTACAACATTATGAGATAATTAGCATTAAAATTGCATTACTACTACTATTTTACAGGTAAACTGAGAAAGATTATGTGGTGTGTGGTCACAAAGATTATAGATCGGGAAACCTGGACTGAACATGTGTTTGGTTCTCAGATCCATGCTTGTAGTCATAGTACCAGTTTGCCGCCCAAAATGCTCATTTGCCTGTAACATGGACATTTTCTCACCGAGAAGCATTTTCTACATCACACCAGGAAGCATATATTTATAATCGTTGCCTCAAAGGTAGCAGCTACATAACACCCTTACTTAACTTGGTGTGGAAATCTGTAACTCAGTGCACTCTCCTGAGAGACCCCAGGCACGTAGGGATAGAGGGAAGGGGAAGTTCAGGAATGATGATCCTCATGACATTGTTTTGAAGAACAAATGGGTGCATGTGTAAATGCTAAGGCTGCAAGTGTTGGGAGATTTGCACAGAGGCAAACCCGCAGTGTGTGGCTTCAACTTTCAAACAGTTCCTTTGTGGGTTGAGTAGGTTTTCCAATGAAGGGTTCTAGTTCCAGGTCTGTCCCCTCAAGTGCATATGATAACACTTAAAACATTTGTATATAGCCAGTATCTCTACCCCAGAGATGCCCTTCTCTGAGCCTAAGGCACTCCAACCCATCCCAAATCGGGTCAGATGTCCCTGGTGAGCTTGCTGTTCACCTCGTTCCTTTCCTTCACATTTATTTCATGAGTATCTCCCACACTAGTAACTGAAGGCTGGTGTCATTCCGCTGTGGTAGTCCTTGCCATATTATAAAGGCTTGTTCTGTGTATGTGGAATCAGCCTAAAATAACTACTAGCCTCAGTAAGCCACTCACTACACTTTTATCATAAGACAAGTGACTGTACTTTTGCCGCCGTTCTTTGTGCTTTATTCTCTCAATCGCCTCCACATTTTCTTTGGGGATAGATTCAATGAGATCACTCAATTCCGCCAGGCGAGACTCTACTTTAACCAGCTTTTGAACTGGGTTGAGGCTGCCAACCTCAGCATCTCCAATGCAGATTCTGTATACTTGATTAATTTTTCTGCTAAGAGAGTCTATCAGTTTTTCCTAAGTTGAGAGAAAAAGGAGAACAGAAAACATAACATCTCATCATTCATTCAATAGATGTAAAATCCACTTTATTATAATGAAAAACCTCCTATGCTACTATTTCCTTTTTTTTTTTTTTTTAGGAAAGCTTTAATACAACAGGACAGTGAAAATGCAGTGATATTTATATTGTAATTGATAGTCGTATCATTGCTAGAGTAATACCTTTGATGATTTAAAAGTATGTTAGTCTAGGTATAAAAAGTAGCGATAATAAAATAGAATTTGGTTTGAGTGGTTTTGTACATTTATTCCCTGGACATTCTGGTAGAGGCAACATACACATTTTAAATCTGTTTTTGCCACTCCAGTGCATTTCCTTGCAGCCAAACATGTAAGGTCCCCCTTTTTACACTTACTGTTCTAATTGCTAAAACCATAATCATCCGGTTTAATAGTTATTTGCAGATATACCTCATTTCTCCCTAAAAATGGTAACTACCTGGGAGGCTGGAGATATGTCTTATGTTTACACATATATCTAAAAGTGCACCTTGCACCTGTCTGTACGCTTAGTAAATGTTTGCTGAATAAATGACTGAATGCATTCTCTCAGAGCAAAAACAAAAAACAAACAAAAAAAACCAGAAAAAGTTACAAGCAAACAGCTTCTGTCGCTCTCTGGCCTACTAAAACTTTTTTAGGAATTTAATGTTTACTCTCCAGTAGGAAGACATCACAGTATTCTAGTCTAAGCAGAGGTTTAGGCCAAACCTTGCTGGGCCCTGTACCTGGCTACTGCGCCGTTTTATCTGCTGGTGGAAATGCTGGAACTTGCTGACAATGTGTATCGGGAGCACAAGAAAATTCGCATTTGTCGCCAACATATGCCATGTTTTCTCACATGAGAGGATCTCAATAAACTTCTGGGCAAACTTAATCTCTTTCCAGGTAGCATTCTGCCCAAATGCCCGCTTCTGCTCAAGAAGATAGAATCACCATAAAACTAAGGACAAAGAACACTCCAGAGATGTGGTTCCAGGAGCCCTGGGCGCCCTCTCCTGGAACCACACACTCCTTACAGAGCCACCAACCTTCATCACAAGCCGAGACCTGTTTATGTCCAACAGCTTGTTTGTCTCCCACCTCCTAGACTAACCTACTTTCTGATGGTGCCGTTTACTGCCTTGCCCATCCCCTAATATTGACACTAGTTCCCCTTTATTCAGGGCTTCACTCTCCCCAGTTTCAGTTACCTGTGACCATCTGTGGTCTGAACAGGGTAGGTGGAAAATTCCCAAATCAGAGGATCATGTCTGATGTGTAGTCACAATGCTGTGTGATTCACCTCACTTCATCTCATTATGCAGACACTGCCCCATCGCATCCCAAAGTGATTACAGTATCACATTTTGAAAATTTATCACAGTGTAATTGTTACTGTTCTTTTTGCTAGTGTTGATAATCTCTCATTATGCCTAATTTATAAATTAAACTTTATCATAAGTATGTACTCCTAGGAAAGAAACAGTGTATATTGTATTCAATTGTCTGCAATACTGGGGTCTCGGAGTATCCCCCACAGTAAAGAGGGACTACTGCATAGCAAAGCCATGTTCCTTTTAGAAAACTTTAAGTATACAATCATGTAAAAAGGAAAATTAAAAAGAGAAAAGCAAAAGTTTTGTTTGCCATAAAACGTTTCTGCCCCCTCTCCAGATAACACTGTGTTTTTTTCTTTGTATTAATAGCATACTCCATTTAGAAAACTTTAGGAACACAGTAATAATAATAAGAGAAGTAAAAAAGGCATCCATTCATGGGCTGAAATGTACATTGAATTATGAAAAAAGAATATTGCTACAATTCGAGACACTTAAAAATTTATTGAACAATTTTTCTAAGAAAAAGCCACTTTACTATGTGATTGGTGGAAATTTCTGAAAGAGCCTTCTGAACACTAGGGAGATTTTCAGAGACACATGAACCGTAGACTTTCCGTTATTTCAGGATGCCCTCTCCTTTTGTTTATTCAAGTTCCTCCAAACAGGAGAAGAAAAGACAAAGAAGGTTTCTTTTTTTTTTTTAAGACAACAGAGTATTAGAGCATAAAAAATAGGACTGGCAATAAGGCTGAGGAAAATACTCACGTATGAGAAAAAGATGGAAGACCTGGCCTAGCAGAGCCCAGGCACAAACAGCCCAAGGCTTAAACTGCCACTGTGAAAGCTGTGTCTGTGCAGTCCCCAGAGCTGCCACCAGGTGGCGGGCCAGTCCAGCGTGCCGCCGAGAGCTGGCCGGAGACCACAGAGGATGGGAGGAACTCAGGCTTTTTGTCAGTGTTGTGGAAGACTGAATACAAGGGCTTTGGTTGCCTTCTCAGTGGGAAAGGATCTGACTAGAGGAACAACTGCCAAAACTGAACAGGGGAGGGAATACGGTTTAGATGTCATTTCAATTGCTTTCCAACTAGAAGACTAATTCTAACCCATCCACATTCTACTGTGTGCTGACTGTAAACAACTCTGCCAGTTCAACCTGATCAACTCCCTGTGTGGAAGAACAGTGATTATGTTCTGCATATCGAACAATGGAATAGCTTTCATTAAAAAGGAACAGTTAACTGCTTTGCAAAAAACATGGGTCATCTCACAAAATATTTTGAGAGAAAGATGTTTTGAGAAGAAAAAGTTTTGAGAGCAAGCCACACATATTGTCTGATTCCATAAAGTTCAAAAGTATGAGCGCCAACTGGGAGTTGAGAGAAGACAGGGTAAGATGTCAGCTGCCGGAACTGCAGCTACAGGAAGAGGCTTGAGAAAGGGTTGTGGGGGTTGCCGATAAAATGAAGCACCTCACCTGAGTGATGTGTGGACTTGCTAACCCTGAGGAAATTTCTTTGAGGGATGTACTTATAATTCATGCACTTTCAATATTATGTTGTGCTTCAACTTAAATTTTCATTTTAATACATTGAATCAAGAAAAATGTTTTTAGGGGATTAAGTATAGTGAGCAGTGTGGAAGTTCTGAAAGAATAAAATCTTCGTTAAGCAGTGATTATAGCTGCCAAGTAACTGGTAACTTATGAATATCAAAATTAAGAGCAACTATGTGTACTTATAAGAATTATGGTGTGCACATTTTTAGATCTGAAAGAATGGGAGGAGGAAGCTGTAGAATACTTCCTCCCTGCCAGTTTTCCTGCTCTGCTCCCCGCTTCTCAACCCCAGCATTTAACATCTCTAGAAGAGGCTAAGAATTATTGGCCACAACACAGATGTGCAACACATAGATGCCAAAATTACACTTGTAACCCAGACATCAGAGTCTTTTCAAAAGTAATTTTCAGGTCAACTCCACCTTCTCTGTTTATGGGTCTGTTTGCCTCAAATTTTAGGAGTATTGAAAGTATCCCTTTTTCATAGTCATCCTAAACATGGATGAAAGGAACTTGGGAAAATAAGCATGGATATTTATTTGAAATATTTGGTGTCCATCAACTTGAGTCTTACTGAAAACAGAATTGTGGAGTGGAAGCAACCCAAGTGTCATCAACAGAGGAGAGGAACACAATGTGGAATATAAATACAATGAAATATGACTCAGCCATAAAAAGGAACGAAATCTGATACAGGCTACAGTCTGGAAAACATTGTTAAATTATGCTAAATGCAAGACACAAAAGGACATCTCTTGAATAATTCCACTCATATGAGGCAGCCACAACACATAGACACAGAAAGCTACAATAGAGGTTTTCAGAGGCAAGGAAGACGGAAGAATGGGGAATTACTTAGTGGGTATAGAGCTTCTATTTGGAATGATAAAAATTTCTAGAAATAGGGATGCTATCACACTAAGTTGTAGATACACTTAATGTAACTGAATATATGCCTGAAATGGTTAAATGGTAAATTTGTATGTTTCACCACAGTTTTAAAAAATGGTGTAAAAAAACTCAGCATCACAGAACTGAAAGATGACTTTGTTTCTTGCTCCTCACACATGATCCTAGCACCTCCAAACTCATGGTGCTAACACCACCTAAGAATGTGTGTGTGTGTGTGTGTATGTGTGTGTGTGTGTGAGAGAGAGAGAGAGAGAATGAGTGAAGGAGCCATGGATGGTTTTGTTTTTCTAACTGTCCACCTTGAGTTGGGCAGGACAATCATATTCTAATCAGCTTCTCTCAACTCTACCTCCATTTGAAAATCAAATTCATAAACATAAGTGTGACGGTAGCCTCACATATTAGAATTTTTATTTCATTTGAGTTTTGTTTTTTTTTTTTTAACAAGGAAACCAATGTTAGCTGGAGCTTGTTGTGGGTCTAGAAGCTAACCTAATCATTCATTCAACAAACATTTATTGAATACCTACTTTATGGGGACACTACCCTTAACTCACTGGGGTAACACAGTTTCTTCCTTGAAGCGTTTGCCTCCAACTGGAAGAGAAACATGTAGAGACACACATGTGTGCTCCCAGAATGCATCTTTGAGGCCCAAGCAGCCCGCACCTACAACAAGCCCCTTGTGGGGCAAAGGTGTTGGCTAAAGCGATCACAGGCAGTGAGCTTCACATCTATATGCTCTGACTAAAGAAATGTGTTTTTAAGAGGGGAAAATCTCAGTAGATGTGATAATTAGAGCAGCATTTCAAGAGAACTCCAGTGCCAGGGTGTATGCTCTCTATTTGCTGTGTCAGCTGACTGTCCATCCTGACAAGGTAATTCCAGCCTAGGCTTTTGCCTCTCTCTGGTTTGCTGTAATCCTCCCCCCAACGCCCCCCTCAACCCCCACCACTGCAAAACTTAGTGCACAAGGAATGCAAATTATCATGAACCAGAGGACAATTACCACAAAGCATGATTACCTGAGCATCTGAGTTAAATTCTCCAAAACTAAATAGTCTGGACCTTAATTCCAGTTCTGCAGCTTTTTCCTCTTCTCTCACACAGTTAGCCTTAAGCACTCTCTTGTGCTCCAGAAGAAAATCTATGTTGCTATTTCTGTTGCAAAAGGAGGAGACCTTGTCATTTGTGGCTTAGTGAAACCAACCATCAGACACTTCCCCACTCTTGGCAGATCAAGCCTCACCAGCCTATACATTCAGTAAGCCATAAACAAGTTCGTGGTTTAAGACTTTGCCAGAGGACATGAACTCCAGAGTAAAAGGAGAAAAAGAAATGCTGTTTCTAACTTTCACCTAGCAGTGTTTGGTTCCCGTCTCCTACTTCCATGGCTCCCCATGAATCCTCCCAATGTAGAACAGCAGAGCTGAGGTCTCAGGAACCTGAGTTGTGACCAAACTAGTGTTCTGGAGCCTGACTGACTGATAATCAGAATAGCTGGAGATCCCAGGAAAAAGAGAGACTCCTGACTCCCTCACCTAAGGATCCTGATAGGTATCTTCTGATGTAGATGCCCTTTTCCTGCCCAGTCAGACCCACCTGTTCCCAGCATCATACTGTCAGAGGTGGGGCAGCATATAGTCTGAGGCTTGGGAGGGAGGATACTTGGACTGAAGGTAGCTTGGAGTCAAGGTGGGTAGCTGTGAGACCATGATATTTAACTTCTGAAAATGAGTTCATTTGTCCCAAAGCTCATTATAGTTTGAGCTATTGTTTAAAATGATTGCCATCTCTGGCCCCAAAAAACTGCCCCAAAAGGGTTGTGTGCATTTTTATCAAGGTAGCTATAAAAATCTAATCTCTGCAACTCAAAGTTATTTTAAGAAATTGGAAAACAAAATTTTAGAGTGGGAAGAAATTTTGATGAAATGGCTTCATCAAATCCTCCCCTTGACAGAGATCCCTTTGATAATAACCCTGATTATATTGATGTATGCATTATAAAATGATGTTTAGTTAAAAATAAGCTTTTGTGCTGAGAGTTACAGCCAAGGGGGAAAAATGTATGTATTAGCTTATCATCCAAAACAAGATGTGATTAGCCCAGTGGGTGAAAACTGCATTGAACAAAAACTAAGACATCTTAATTCCTTTCCAGCTTTTTTTTTTTTAAGATTTATGTATTTGTGCATTTAGAACTGGGGTACAGGCCAGAGGTGCAGGGGCGGTGAAAGGATTCACCAGAGATAGAGTGGGAAGCAGAACAGGCAGATCGACGAAGTACACTGCTGAGGGGAGCAGCGGGCAGGTCAGGAGAGGTCTGCCACATGTGGTCACCTCCGGGGTGGGGATCAAATTCATGCAGAAGTGGCTTTAGCTTCTTTAGTGCTGTGCTTTAACCTGCTGCACCACCAGGGAGGGCCCCCTTTTTCAGCTTTTAAACTATATTTATTGCTTGTAGGAATATTATGTTGACAAGTGATGGGAAATAGGGGCAAAAATTAAACCCAGTCTATTTTATACCAATATAGCTTCAATATCTTGCCCTGTAAATTTATTAGGGAATGGGCCCTCCCTAGTGATGGTGCAGCACTAAGATAAAGCCACTTCAGCATGAGCTCGATCCCTGCCCCATAGGTGACCCACATGGTGCGGCAGACCTCTCCTGACCCGCCTGCTGCTCCCCTCAGCAATATACTTCATCAGTCATCCTGTTCTGCTCCCCACTGTGTCTCTGGTGAATCCTCTCATCACGCCTGTGCCTCTGGCCTGTACCCAAGTTCTGTATGCATAAATAAATAAATCTTAAAAAAAAAAAAATCCCGAGGAAGGTCACCTATGAGGAGGCGGAGTCAGTGTCTACTTAGAAATCAATTCATAGAATAAATCTCCTCATTTTTAATGACTTACACTTTTTCCTGTATAAGTTTTTCCCTTTTATTTACATCTTCAAGGTTCTCATCTACATCTTGGGAATACTGTACCAAAGTAAGATTCTGCTCTTCCAGCTCATTGAGGACTTGAAGTAACTCTTCTGGTTCTTTAAAATAAAGCTCTGGTTCCTACTCAAGCAATAACAAGGAACAGAACATATCACACAGTGACACAACATTAGGCTTTCTATGCATATGCAATGCGTTCAGAAAAATACAGTGAGGAAATTGTGGGTCTGTGGAGACGGAGGGCATGGTGGGTGTGAGGGGGAGATGGGCAGGGCATTTCTCTGTGGGAGCTGGTCTTCTGGGGTCTAAGGAAAGACAAGGCAGAAGCAAAAGAAGGAAAACAGGAAGCCCAGTGAAGGTCATTTTCTCCCCACATTTTATTAGCTTCCAAAACTTTGTGGACAACTACACCCTATTTTAACTGCATTTAAAATTTAAAAAGATGGTATGGCTACCTGCACACTCAGGTTCATCCTGGTTACTATAGCCAAGAGCTATACATGTCCAGTGGTTGGTAAATGTATGAGAAGATGGGATGAACCAACCTAATAGGATAGAGTTCAGTTTTCAAAAGCATGGGAGTTCTGTCAGCTGGGACAACATAGATAGATGGACCTGGATGACTTTAGGCAAACTGAAATAGATGGTTACAAAAAGACACTGACCCTGTGATTCCACACGTATGAAGGAACCCAAGGCAATCAGACCTTAGGACGTGAAGCCGTGGTTGCCAGGGGCTGGGGGTCAGAGCGGAGATTAGGGGATACGTTTAATGGGAAGAGTCTCAGTTTTGCAACATGAAAAAGTTCTAGAGCTCTGTCCCACACAGCATACATGTCGTTAACACTACTCTGCTGTTGCTTAAAAATGGCCAGGAGGGTCAATTTTGTGTTTTGTTCCTTACCACAATAAAAAAGAATGGGCACTTGGGTGAGGTGTGTTATATTAACAACGGAGGGTGTTCTTGTTTTCCCTTGGGAGTTGCTGGAACCTAACTGTATTTAGAGCAGGGTTAGGTCTGCATCTGTCATGGAGCAATAACGGGTTCTCTAATCAAAGACTTACCTGACAGGCTACCCAATCGATCTGGAGCCTAGGGGAATGACCAGCACTTGGACAGGGGCTTGTGTACAAGATTTTAGGTGCTAGCGGGCTCCTAAAGCACTACTTTCTGATGGGCATTCAGTTTTCAAAAAATAGCTGCTAGGAAGATGAACTATCTGTGTAATCAGGGGGCAATATCAGCATCGTATTTCCTCCTGGAAAGTGGTGGAATATTTGCACTAGGAAATAGTAATCTCAAAAGAAGAAATGATCATTGATATTGTTTTCACCAAGGACAACATTTAAATCAAGAAATTTAATCTGGTTACCAGTTCATAGTCTGTGTCATCATCTAGAAAGAACTCCAAACTGTCTTCGGAACTGATGCTTTCAGCATGGCTGCAAAGGAAAGGGAGAACTCTGACTTCGGTGCCATTTTCTGTCCATACGTTCCTTTCCTCTGTGTTGTCTGGAACCTAACTGTACTACAGTGCTTTTCTATAGCCTGTTCTGCTTTTCAGGGAGAAGCTGGTTGCAGAAAACAATGGATTCCATACAAAAGAAAATCAGAATTATTCCCTGATCAGGTGACACACACGAGACTACAGGAAGGGGCCATATCACGTGGTATTTCTGATCATTTGACGGGCAGCTATAATGTAAAGTAACTGTTAAAAAGAAGCACAATTCTGGGAGAGGGAGTGAAACTGCAAACACAGGGGCCACCAGAGAACTTAATAAACAACTGGACAGTGGCTCCTATGGCAAAGATGCAGGGAGCTGGCAGGCTGTGGTGCAACGGCAGCTGAGGCAGCCATTAAAGAATTCAGGGTGACCTGAGGCAGCTGGGTGTGCACACAGGTGTGGCCTGTTCGCAGAAATGGCAACAACCACCCTCAGCATCCCCTTCAGTGGCTGGATTGCTAACTACCATTCAGATTGTCAAGAATACGAATCAAGCTTGTACTGTACTTGGAGATGGATTTCTTATACTCGGAGGCGAGGTTTCTTATACTCTTCTGTTGTTTCTCTGTTTAAAGCATCCAGGTGAAGTCCATGGCATCATGAAGGTGGAGATGGAAAGAAAGATCAGGTCATTAGAAACGACTCTGTGCCTGGTGTAAGATCGTCCCTTCTCTGCCTGGACGAAAACAAGAACACCAGGGAAAACAAGAACACCAGTTAGCAGTAATTACCGGTGATAATAGAAAACAGAGCCCTTTTCGCCTACCCAACTGGATTCCAACCGTAGGAATAAAATCAAAGCATGATGGTTGGAGGGGAGATGGCTGTCAGCTATCACAAGTCACAAACCAAGGACACCACTTGTGAAATATCAGTCACAATTCACTTTTGACCTAATCATCTATCTCATCAGAGAAAAGTATGTTTACCAGAGGAAAACATAAAAACGCACACGTCTGTCTCAATACCTAATCTCGATCCACGTCAGTCATTCCATCTCAGGAGCACATTTCGCCTTCTCTCCCACACACCACTTCCCCTCACACCTACATCATGTTCCTCCCACACGAGTGTCTGAAACTAAGAAGTGGGCAAAATGGGACTTGGATTTCTCCCCCACTGACCCATGGCTCCCCATGGCATATGTCCTCATGCTGATTCTTTCGTGACCACCAGCCCCTCTGGCCTGCTGTGATCTGTCTGGAAACCCCACCTGTCTCCACCCAAGTGCCCACGTCCAGTTCATCTGTGGTCTCATCTGAGAGACGCTTCTCGATGCCCTCAGGTACAGATCTTTTTGATTTTTTTTTTTTTTTTTTGGCTTTTGCCTTCAGAGCCCCAACCATCATCACTATGCTTCCCTGGTCCCGCTGTGTTCAGGCGTGCAGAGCTACATCTTGTATATCATTGTTTTGAAAAGTGTCTGATAGGTTGCACATTGGTGATCAGTGATGAATGCAGGAAATAAAAATAAAATGGATGAAGGGCCAGATGATGTCCATCCCTTTCGCCAATTGCCATCTTAGTGTTTAAGCTGATAACCCAAACACGTATTACTACAAAGCCTTATTAAGGGATGTTATTAAACCAAGTAACTTCTCTGTTAAAGATTTCTAAGAGAACATGCACAGCCCCACATCCTGCCCCAGAGCCTCTTAGAGGCTTAGGAATGTGTATTAAATAATTTGACTTCGCAATTGGAAAGAATTTACTTTCTCAGCCAATAGGCTGATGCTTAAGGCCCATAGTGGGATCTCTCCTGGGCAAGCAAATTGCACTGATGAGCTTTATCCTCACCATTAAATACATCTGACCGGGGCTCTCTGTGGTGGCTCAGGGGTTAAGTCACAGCACTATGAAGCTATCAGCAGCCACTACAGCATGAGTTCAGTCCCCGGCCAGGGAGCTGACCCACATGGCACAGCAAACCTCTCCTGTCTCCTGTCTCACCTGCTGCTCCAACGCCAGAGAGAGAAAGAGAGGAACAATACTCTTCGCTCTCCAGGATTAAGGTAACATGGGTATCATCCTCCATGCCCTGCTCAGTGCCCAGGTCCTGAACTCTCACCTGCTCTGATCTCACTTTCGTGAGTGAAGCCCCACAGCCTTGTGTTACCTCCGTGGGTGCCTTTTCCCGCTGTCAAGTCTTCTCCTTGTTCTGCCTTTGTGGTTTCCTCTTGGCTCTTTATCTTTGCACTTATTTCTAGAAATGAAAAATGAGGGGTGGGAGGTGGAAAGACACTCCTGAGAACATTGTCTTACTACCAGGTAGTTCCTGTGGCAATCTCCAGAGCTGCCCTATGTGACTGGGGACATACGGGCCACAGCTTGCCACACAGCTGGCTGGAGGGGGCAGGATGAGGAAGAACCTACTGTGGGTTCCCTGTCCCACACCTGTCTGTCATATGCCTTCCACCCCCTCACAAGCCCTGCATGGCTTCTCTGGAGCAAGACACTCTTCTGAGTACCCTCAAGTTAGGTGACTCGTCTGGGGGACTGAATCTTAACTGTGAGAGACAAATATTTCTGTTTTCCTTTCCATTTGTTCTCTCTTGTCAAACCCCAGGTACTGAGATTAACCAAGTGTTATCATTGCCCGATACTTTCCCCACAGATAGAATTTCATCCTGCCCAGCACAGTGAGACACAAGGGAACAGGGTTGGGTCATCAGGAATGGCAGGTGGTGAACGGGTAACCACCAATTCACCCGAAAAACATTTCCTCTGACTTGGAGTTAGCCAGCTTGTATGTGTAAATGTCATTATCCCTGAGTCTCGGGGTCAGCTCTCAGCCGAAGACTCTGCATGTTGTCACTATTCTCTCTGTGTGCTGTTCTGGAGCCCCAGTAGCCACAGTCTCCCTGGACCCCAGGCCTTTCTTTCCAGGTTATGGAGACTGGCGCACTCACTCTACTCCCAATGCTGCTCCCTTCATGATGCTCTGTTCTGGAAACTTCCCCTCTGCCAGCTTGGGGCTCCTCTATTTGCTCCCCTCACTAAGGGGGGACTTCACAGCTTGATACCTATTATCTGGAAACCTGCTCCACAGTTTCCAGACAAGAGGGCAAGTCTGGTCCTTGTTACCCCAGTATTGATGGAAGTGGAAGTCTTCTCTTTCCATTTGTGCCCCAACTTTGGTCGCTTACTACCTCTAGTTCTGGTTCATTAGCTAACGTTGTAATGCCAGTACCCCACTGTTTCAATTTCTGAGACTCTGTGATATTATAAAATGTCTTACATGATTATAACACGCACCTACGACCTCTTCATTTCAGAAGTATTTGCTTGTATTTCTAGTGAACATCAAAACCATTGTACAGAGTTTTTCCCAAACCAACATTGGGTTCCCTGACAATTTTTGGTAATTTTTTTATTGTAATTTCATAAAAATTCCGTTTAAGGAATATTGGCAGCAAGCCTCCTACCTCAAAAGAAAACACATTTCTGTTTGTCAAATTTTCAGGTCAGACATTTAAAGTTATTATTGCTTCGTTGGACTTAATTTATTTTCTCATTAATATAATTTATTTAGGTTAACACATTAAGTTAATAAACTATGATAGACTTTGTACCTATTTACTCTCTAAAACCCTTTAATAATACCAAATCATTTTGGAGTTTTTAAGAAGGGTTTCCCAGGTATACCAGCTCATCATATACAAATAATATATATCTATTTCTCCAGTACTGTTACTGCTTTATATCTGAAATTAACCTGGTTTCCAAATTGACATGTCAGAGACAGTTCTGTGTAAAAAAGAAAATATGACTACTTAATAAGTAAACATTGAAGTAGACTATCTAAATGTCAAGGGTATTTACTTAATTGAAATTAAGCATATGTAACTCACTTGATTTTTTGGGAAGGATGGCACCCACATTTTCTTTGTTTTTGGATGCCTGTACCCTTTTCAGTGCTTGCTGGAGTTGCCAGTGTTTTGGAGACAATTTCAACAGGAAAAATCCATATTTCATGTATTCTCTAAGAAGGAATTCTGTCTTTGTTATTTCACTATTCAAGAGAGAAAAAGGTGTGATTAGCTCTATCTGAGTGAAAGATGCTGCTTCACTAATCTATGAACAGCATAGACTTAAATTACATTAGAGAAGGCGGGAGGCAAGGGAATTCTCTATCTCAATTGCCTTTAACTTCAGGCTCCTGAAAATACAGAAGTCTACAGGCTGTTTGAAATGCATATTGGTTTCTAAGAAACTATCATGCAGGCCCTCCCTGATGGCTCAGCAGGTTAAAGCACTGCACTAAGAAGCTAAAGCCACTTCAGCATGAGTTCGATCCCCCACCCCCTCCACCCCACCCCGAGAAGTGACCACATGGTGCGGCGGACCTCTCCTGGCCAGCTTGCTGGCCTGTACCCCAGTTCTGTATGCATAAATAAATAAATCTTTAAAAAAAAAAAGAAACTATTATCCAACACCTTTGATGCATTTTAGACAACTGTTCTCCCAGCCTTACCTCTTCACCGCCTGCACCTCCATGCTCGCCTTCTTCAGCTCTGTTGTGATTTGCAGCTTGTTTATCGTTTCCTGTGCTGCACTGAAAAGTAACAGAGATTTGTTCATTTGTCTAATGTATTCTGTCCTGAAATACTTAAAAGAAGAAAGAAGGAGGGAGGAAGTGATTTCCTCAAAATGTAATACAAAACAAAACAAAACCAAACATTTTAAGAGCATCTGCAGATCTCTGATCATTTTCTCGAAGGAACTCTTCAAAAGCCATGGCGTCTTCCTGGAGCTTTTTTTCTGCTTTCATGAGTTGCCTTTCCTTCAATGCTATGAGTTTTTCAAACTTCATAATTTTATTTCTTTTGGTTGACAGAGAATACTAGGAGTATTGGAAACAGAAGTGCAGCAGGAGAGTTAGTCCACATTCCCAGCACCTTCTAGAAGTTTCATTAAAGGGGGCGAGGGGGCATGACTTACAGGGCTGGGAATTGTTTGTTTTAGAAGTCACAGACCCCCAAATCTCAGGCCTGTGAGTTTTTTTGAGTCTCCCAGTGAACAATTATGGTATATATCTCTGATTACTTAAGACTTTCTCAGTAATGGATGTCATTTTTAGAGTACACCTCTTGAACATAAGTATTTCATTGTGTGTGGCAATGCTCATGAATTTCAATTTCTTATCCTTTATTGCAAGTTTATAAAAACAAAAGCAGTTTTTGTAAAGGAACCTTTGGGAACAAGGGAGAATCTGGGACCAACCATGCTCTAGTTTCCTGAAGCATTTAAGGGAAATACTACAGAACCCTGTCTGAGATACTAGAATGTAAGCTCTCTGAGGGAAAGGGCTTGGATGTGTTCACTGCTTGGCACATAATAAGCACTCAAGAAATATTCTGAAATGAATAAACCAATCAGTTCAGGCAAGAGATTTAGGCATGCCATGGAAAAATAAGAGGTAGAGGTAAATATTTAGTAATACTATGCAAGAGGTCTTCTATTTGACTAATGGGAGAAAGAAAACTATTTTGACTACCTCAAGCAGAAATCTGTCTCTTTGATCATTAATAAATTCATGCACAGTCCTTTTTGAATCTGAACCTTTAAAAAAAATTGAAACAGAATTAAGTTTAGTTCATTTTCCCTCAAAAATGCTATATAAAGTAAAAATCATGTAGTTAAATTACTGCATATGTGTCTGAATTTTTAAAAACACTATATCTGACTTTTTTTCATAACTGCTCAAAAACTAATAACAATAGCAGCAGCCATTTTTTGTGTGTATTCATCAGACTCCAGAACTTTATGTGATACTTTAATGTCATCTTTTATTTAATCCTAATAGTGACCCCAGTAAGAGACTTATTGCTAGTCCTATTCAGCAGATGTGGTCACACCACTCAGAGAGGTCAAGGGATACGTCCAAGATCACACAGCTCACACACAGCACAAGAGGCATAGGACTCCGAAGATCAAGGTAAATGAGACTGAACTATTTTACATCTTAGTGTTTTGTCCTCCTAGAGATGAAACTGAAGACCTTAGGCTGAATGTGTTTGGGAATCACAAATGAAACTTATGGCAGAAAAGAAAAAGATTACAACTAGCTTTGATCACAATAGAACAAACCAAAGTTGCCCTTTAAGATTTCTTCTTTCTGGAAAAATCATACATATGCTGCGTATCAATAATATTCACCTTGTAAACAGTGAATACCAACAGAATGTGTACAGAATAAAATTTCTGAATAAAAATGTACATGGAATTAGAAATGAAATAGCCTCTTTCAGATGACCAGCAATTCTATGTTGCCTTGGGAAGCCCATGGTTGCCCAGAGCTGTAACTGACCTCCACCTCTCACTAGCTAGTTCCATAGCCTCTCTAAACCTGAGTTTCCTCATCTGTATAGTGAAGATACCGACTTGGGGAGATGATACTATAGTTTCCAAATATCTGCTGTCCTTCTCTGGGAAAAGTTGTCCCCCCTCATTGATATTAGACTTGACTGTTGCTCTGATTTTCTCCGATCTTTATTGCTTCCAAGCAGTTTTAAGAACCACTACCCACTTGTCTTTCTGCTATAACTCTAAAAGCATTCTTGGGGGGAGGGGCTATTTCTTCATTGCAGGATTCAACTGAAAAGCACCAAAGTTGAATAGTGAATAAGATAAATCTGTTGTAAATCACTGAAATTTAGAACTGGCTTATCATCACAGCAAAAATTAGCCTAAGTGGGTCATTAATTGTTAGCTAGTATTATTTTAGAAGTACTGTTAGAATGAGTTACTCCTTAATTCTCCAAGGTCAATAATAATGGCCATAATGATGATGCCACCAGGGAGGCCCAGCTTACCTTCTGTTAACCTGAGAATCAGAGTGGGATCTAGCCCAAATTTGTCAAATGAAGCTCCACCTTTGTCAGCGTAGAATGACAGTTGGCTCAGGTGGGAACGACTCTTCATTCGGGACGAAAAAGTGGACTTTTGGTAGACTTTCATGCTACGATTTATAAACTTTTCCTGGCCAGATGGAAAAGTTTAAGAGAACGTCTAAGATGCCAAGATAGTGATGTTTTCTTAATATCATGACCATATATTAACATCCTTTGCAGCAAATAATAATTCACTAAACAAGCAACCTCAAGTTCTTACCTTGGAAGAAGTTTGTCTTAGTTTTCATTTCTTTATCATACAAAGCTGATTTATATGAATATAAAACCCGTCAACTTTTATCATCCATGTCCATCACCAACAGAGTCTGAAAAATGTCTCTTTGGCTTTCCCCCACAATCTTGTTTTACCCAAAGAGCAGATAACTTGGAAATTCCACTGACTGGAAAGAGTTGGTTCAGTGGAATTAAAAACTTGAAAGGAAACAGACCTCCCCAGGAGACATCAAAAAACGAGACTTCTGACTTCGTGAATCTTTTCTCAAACAATTTTGGATATTTTCAATAAAACCATAGACCCTATGCTCAAACCAATGGCTTACAGAAGAATCAGTTGCTGAGCATTTCAGATATCTTTCTCATTCTAGTTATGATTTTTTTTTCTACAAGTCTTGTAGTCAACCTTCACCTCGAAGAATGAGAAAAACAAACCCCATGGGATCGAACCCAATGACCTGGGGTCCTACCACCTGGGCCGTGAAGTTCACAGCTAAAACGATGCTTCCCCATCACTTTCAGTCCTTTCTTTCCCCGCCCTTTTCCCCAACACACACACCATTCTCTTAGATGTATCTGCCTGGGAAGACTTTATTTACTCTTAACCGATCAGGAGCTGTTACCCCTCAGAGCAAACTATGTCCACACCACCACCTCGCTGCCACTCCCTTCTCTTCTCCCTAATTGCCAACAAAGACGGGCACCCTTTTTGAAACATCCCCTTTATAGGCCTCTATTAGTGTAGTTCATGAACTCCACGATGCCACTGATTGGAAGGTACATGATTACTTTACAGACACCGATACTGCATCACCTCCTTCCTATGTAAGCTGGACCCCACTTCCAGAAATGTGTACATGTGACTAGAGGGGTTTAGAACTGATGAAGTAGGGTGTGCCCCCAGTCATAGTGGACTATAGCCAACCAGAGCTAGTGGTGTACCAGTCTGTGTGATTAGGGGTTTGTGGTCATAACTGGTGATCACTGGGGCCCTCCACGGGCTAGATGCTGCGCCCCAGCTCAGAGGCAATGCACACACTGTCACTTGACCTCATGTCTTAAGCCAGCAAAGTTCATAAAAGTGGTGGATAAGAGCATAGGATCCTTACATTCATTGGGAGTGTGATTTAATAACCATACCTTTTTCTTTGCTTCCATTTCATTTTCTTTGAAAAGAAAGAGATCTTTGAAAAAGACCTTGTAAGGCACATCCTTCTTGACTGAGTCATCTTTTATTTTACCTGCTAAAAAGAAAAGGAAAACAACAACCCTTTTCAGACAGCAAAGCTCCTGCCAACTGAAGCCAAGCAAGAAGGATGCAAGGGTCTCCCCCATCTGGAGGCGGGTACATAGGACCAGGTTTTCAGGGCCATGATCACTGCCCTGGCTCTGAGCACAGTGCTCAGAGCTTCCAAGAGAAGAACCTGTGTGTGCTATGCAGGGAGATAAGGGGGTCTGGAACAGGACAATGGGATCATGGTTTGAGGTATTAAGGTGTTGCTTCTTTCCACATTATAAAGATACCCTCCATTAGCTTTACACCCCCATTTCAGTAGCATTAGACAGCTGCTGAAATAGCAGACTAGTGAGTCTTAAAAAGAAAAGCTAAAGGTAATAACAAGTGTTGGGGGGATGTGGAGAAATTGATCCTCATACAGTTGCTGGCAGAGATGCAGGATGGTGCAACCACTTTCACAAACAGCCTGCAGTCCCTCAAAAAGTTGATCAAAAGTGATGTCATGGGAGCCAGCAATTCCACTCCTAGAAATTTACCCAAAAGAAATGAAAAATATCTCCACACCAAAGCTAGTACATGAACATCTATAGTACTGTTATTTCTAACAGTATAAAGACAGAAACGACCCAAGTATCTGTTAACTGATTGATGCATAAACCAAATGCATCCATACAATATTTGTGAGCCATAATAAAGTACATAATAATAAAGTTTGTACTTTATTATCAGGTGAAAGAGCCGGACACTCACCCACCCACCCACCCACCCACCCACATGTTGCACAATTTCACATTTCATAAAATGTCCAAAATAAGTAAATCCATGAATACAGAACATAGAGGAATAGTTGCTTGGAGGGATGGGATATGAGGAGTGTGGATGGTGGCTAAGGAGCACAGGATTTATTTTTGAGGTGCTGAAAATAAATTTTAATTTGACCGTGGTGATAGTTGCATAAATTTGTGAATATGCTAAAAACCGTCCAGTATACAGCTTTAATAACAAGTACTTGCAAAAGTGAACCGGTCCACTTAATAAAAAGGAAGTCTAAAGAGAGACAGGGAGGGAGGAGCTAGGGGAGTGAAGTGAGAGTTGAGAGGTAGAGGGAAGAAAGTGGGGTGGGGGGATGCAGGTGAAGAGATAAGACAATTGAATTTCTGATTTTTGAATGGACTTTTTGCTTTTATTCATAAAATTGTTAATGATAAAAAGCCTTTTCTTTCTTATGTTTGGTGGTAGGTGGGGCATCTTGGCTTTAAACACCAATAGCTAAAACCAAGCATACTGGGAGCTTGGAGCTGAGAAAGGGAAAGATGGGAAAAAGGGGAAGGAAGACACATTCATAATTCCCCCTAAAGCACCCCCAGAAAAATATGACCCTGAGCAGAAGACTTGTTCTTGTTCCACCCCAAGATGGCTGACTTAATTGAGCCATAAACATCAGGGGAAGAGGTGAATGCAATGTGTAGGATGTGCCCTAAAAGAGGTATGCTCCTTCCCTCTGCTTTTCTCTTTCTTGCCAGCAGGAATATGGGTGTGATTGTTGGTGCAGAAGCAGCCACTTTGGATCAAGAATACAAACCTGTAATAAGCAAAGAAGCCTGGGCCCCTAGTATGAGCCTCCAAATTGACCTGCAGTGCTTATGTTCAGACTTTGTTTCTTCAAGAGAAGATAAGTGTCTGTTAAGTTTAAAGAGAAACTTCTTAACAAACTTTATCTAGAGAGGCCCTGCCTACAGCTGTTGGGTGGTATTCATAACAGGACTAGGCACAAGCAACAACTCATTGATTTCTTCTTTACCTTCAGAAGGTGACAAAAATTGTGATGGCATCTTGTCTCCTGACTCTGTCCAAAGAAAAGAAAATAAGAAAATAGATTTTTTAAAAATCTGTAAGCATTCCAAATTCAAACATGGCCAAGTTCAATATACAAGATTATTTTCTATCGTGGTCACTGTATTATATAAAGAGTCAGGTCTGTGGATACATTATTATTACACTGGAAAGTGGAAAGTCCCTGGCTTTTGGGGAGCAGCCAAAGAACACTGCCTTTGAATCTTTTCAATTTCTCTTGGGTCTATCCAATTAAATTTAGACAAGTTAAGTTCTTCTATCAACTATAGATACCAAGATTTCTGTTATAGGCATGTTGAAATTTTCAAACACAAATAATGTATGCAAAGTTCCTGTGCAAGGTAGGCTAATAGGAAGATAATTGCTTCTATTTTCTTCAAAGTCAATATCCAGAACTAGCCTCTTTTTAGTCCACTCTGTCTTGTGAATGGTACCAACAATTGAAAAGAACAGGAAGGATAACTGACAACTAGCTTTGTAAAAGACCCTGAGTTAATGTTCTTAAAACCTGGTGATCTGGAAGGAATCAACCAGCAATATCAGTGCAAATTTGGGGGACCAAATTAATGCACCTCCTTCATATTCTAAGCTCCAGGGAAGTGGAGAACAGGGTTTTATAATATCTAATCCTAAAGTCCAAGACCAACACTAAATGAAATGAACAATGTACACCACATATTATTTGAAGTGGTTTGTGCTTGAGGGTTTCTGTCACCCTTTCTACAACTCAAAGAAAGTGATTCCCAGTAAGAGAAAAAGTTGTTCATTTGCAAATGAAGACAGATTTTCTCAGACCCACACCTTGTAATATTTCTCCCACCTCCTTCCCTCCCACTTGGACAAATACTAGGAGAAAGGGCTGTGAACTGTGTCCTTGGTTGGTGAGTAGAGACCAGAGCTAGCAATTTTTTGTTTGCCTAAAGCAGAAGCCCAGAGGTCCTTGTCCTGCTCCATGACCTGGTGTTTGATTAGGTCAGAGCGGAGCACAATGATGAGGAAATTACCGTCAGCCTGACCTTTCAGGCCCTGCTGGCGTCAAGCTAGCTATTTTATGTGGACTCTGTGTTGACATTTTGACTGCTCTGTTTGCAAACTGACAAAATAACAGGAGGTCAAGAGGAAGGAAGAGTTGGGGGAAAGAAGTCAGCCAGTGTGAATCAGGTGATGGGAAATACTTTGTAAGTTAAGATGTACTATAGAGATGTTGATTACCAGTAAGTAAAAATGTGGTATCCTTGCCACTCAATAATTTAGTAATGACCAAGGAGGACAGAAGACAATTCTCACACTTCTTGTTTCCGCAAACGTTTTTGTTTGCATGGGCTTGTCAGGCAGTGTTGTATAATCCCATGAACTAGTTTCACTCACAGATATAAATTTCTCTTAGTTTTACCAGGAATTTGTAAGTCCTAAGTACATGATAAATTCTATGAAGGAGGAAACCTAGTACTATTGTCTGAAATCTAACTTTTAACTTAACTGGCCAGAGGAATAGTAGATTAAAATAAACTAACAGTACTAGTAATTCTAAGACTTACTATTTATTCGAGCTAGATACTGGGCTAAGTGATAGCACTTTCATCTTATTTAAAACTCAGACAAATCCATAGCATTGAAAAAAATGGGCAATGCTGTGCCCATACTAAGGATGAAAAACTGAGATTTAGGGAAATTAAACAAATGTGTCAAGGTCATAACAGTTCTTAGCTCATAAATTAACAGAAGTGGGATTAAGAGAAGTTTATTGAACCCCAATGGCTTTTATTTCCCTATAATTTCATCTCACCCTTTATATTCATAATCATGTAAATTTGCAAATATACCTAGAATTACAAAATGTAACATTCAAATCTTTAGCAGATAGAAAATATCAATACTTCTTTATGAATTAATGACCTTGTGTTCTATTTTCCTCTACTTCTACTTCTAAGTATTATTTCTTTACATGTTATACTTTCTTTTTAAAGCTGTGTATAGTGTATCTGAGCTCTGAGTGACCCTGGATTCCGCCCCTACTCCTCACCCATAATAGCTTCTGCTGACATTATCTATTTTCCCCCAATGTTATTCTTTCTTTTTTTCTTCTTGACATCTCTTCTTTTATGGCCATATTATAAAGCTAAAGCATATCCTCGCTTTTGTATCCATCTGCAGGAGTTTTTGCTTTCTGTTCTTAGCTTTTAAATAACTTTAGATGACGCTGAATTAGCTACTTATATATTTGTGGCTTTGCAGGCCTCCGTCTGCTTTTACATTACTTGTACTACTTACTACAAAGTACCTCCCTTTTGAAAGTAAAGTGCCTCTTCTCTGGATTTTCCACAAGCTCAGAGTTGTTTTTTTTTTTTTAAAGTTCAACTTCAGAGTTTTTTTTTTAGTTCATTTAAAAAATTTTAAGACAGGCCCTCCCTGGTGGCGCAGCGGGTTAAAGCACAGCACTGAGAATTTGAAGCCACTTCCGTATGAGTTCGATTCCCGCCTGCTGCCTGCCCCGGAG